CCTCCTACCACACAAGGCTGCATCCTGCCATGCACCATGGATTGCACAGCCAACTGCAAAAAACTGGAGCAGACTTTCCTCGAGCAGCTCCTTCCTGTCAATGCTGTTTCTTTAAGGGTAAGCACCTTTGATTAACTGCTTCTCAAATGTGGGGGGGGGGGGGGGAAGAGCAGCTTCAGAGGGAACCACCTAAAATGTCAGATCAGGTGGGGTCAGTGGACAGAAACCACAACACGCCCTTCCTGAGGACCTAGGAGGCAAGAGCAGGGTGGCAGCCCCTCCCCCCCCATTCGGAAACCATTTCATTCCCATTCTTGCCCTTCCCCTTACAGCTCTCACAACCGACTGAAGGATCATTCTCCAGAGATGGTCCTGCTCACTTTTTGGAAAGGGCTCTATGAGCGGGGAACTTAAGATTGTCTTCCCCTCTGCCATTAGAGGCTCTGTTCTAAATTCACAGGACCATGGAAAGACCCCTAGACTGAAGAGAGGCCCCCCCAAAGGTATATTTTGTGGTTTAAGCCCCCCAGTCCACCCCCAAACTGCTTGGAGCCTTTGCTGAAGTCAGAGACAAAAATACTTGTACACTTTTTGGTTTCAAGTTTCCCAAGCCGTGAACTGTTGCCTCATTTGTGAAATGTAGTCAGTGCACACAAAACAGGACAGGTGACAGTCTAAAGAAGGCTTACAGAGAATAATCTGGTATTCAACCATTAAGATTCCCTTTCCAGTTCTCCCCCCTCCCTACTATGAGAAAACACCAAATATAAAAATTCAGTTTTTCTGCTAGATTCATGTTGAGTCAAAGACACCAGATAACAAAGTGACAAAATCAAAAGCTGCTCAAGAGTATAAAACTTAAAAACAAATCCACCTGTATATCCACAACCTCAGCTTGCAGAGATATTTTTGAATGCATTTAATTAAACCTTAGGTGTTTTTTTTAATGCTACATTAAGGAGCCTCTCATACTGAGCACCATTTACAACACTGCAGATGATGCACTAGCAACAGGATTTGGCTTGAAATCAAACTGTGGAAGGCCGTGAGAAATCCAGTGTTTACAAATGCTTGACCTAGCTGTTAACAGCCCCCCAGCCCCGCCAAGAGCACAGGGCTCAATTGCCAGTATGGTACAAATAGGAGAAAACTCACCCAGCTTCCCATGGGACTCTCAAAAAGAACAGAAACTGACTCTATATAAAAGGAAGGGAGAAGAAATCTACCCCCAAACCACAACCTCATTGCCTTGACCAGAGGAAGGGCCATGGCCACAGCTGCTCAATATGTAAATACCCCAGGATGTTATTCACTATGATAAAAAGGACACAATGAAACAAAACATCCAGAAGAAGCAATTTAAAAGAGTTCTTCGAAATAGAATTCCAACCCCCTCCCCTTTTCTAGTTTCTGTTCTGTTACATTAATCAAATGGAGCGGTCAAATTTTTCAGTCCTCATCAAATTGGGTTTAAGTAAAAATGACTTCTAAAGGTCACGGCTAATGCTGCATTGAGACCAGGAGGGAGGAAAACAGCCCTAGAGAGTCAGTAGCCTTCATCTTTTCTGACTCAGACAGGATCTTCATAAGCACAGGTGTTTGCACAGTTAGCATAAGCCACTGAGGATAAACAGGATTTTGGTTTTCCACACAGCAACTTGGTTTCTCAAAGACTCACCATTTTAATTTTTAAAAAAGAGAACAAATCCAGAATGTTCCTAGCACTCATGGCTGTAGGAAAAAAGTAATAAAAAAGAAGAACACAGTTGCTAAAACCTCCAAGATCAAGATTACAGATGCTTCCAGCTCCACATTTTGGCCCCATCCTTTTGGGCTGTCCCCCCCCCCACTACTCCTTTCAGCATCTTAACACACCTGTGTGTAATTTTGGTCTCAAGTATTTTGGTATAATAAAGCTAACCTAGGCAGCACTGCCTCCAATTACTATTTCTACCGAGGCTGAATGAAGTGTGAGTCACACAAATAAGATTACATTGCTTCTTCGGGTGAATAAGACAACCATTTTCCAACTTGAAATTTACCACTCTGCATTCAACCAGTTGGCAAGCTGTTCATGGCCTGTCAACCTTATCACTTCTCAGCTTCTATGGATTTGTAAGCAGGTGCAGAAGTTTGGTTAGCCTCTGACCACCACTTGGTAAGGTGATTGTATTTTCCTGCCAAATGGTTACAGGCATTGCTTTAAGTGACCACTTGGCTAATGGGCATCACCCATTGCTTTTGCTGACTCTTCAAAAACCACATAAATTATTTAGCACATTGTCAGATTGCATAATTATGATTTTGCAATAAATTAATTGCTGAATTCTGCCAGGAAGCTACACCAAGGAAATCAAGTCAAGGCAGGACTGCTACTCCAAGAGCTCTAATGAGGCTTATGTCCTATAGGAGACTTCAAAGTAATATACACCTTGTCCATGTGAATCCATGACAATATGAAACAGCAAGGAAAACTATAAGCAGCAGCAAGGAAAACTATAAATGTACCATCTTTACACTAGTAAATGTTAATTCTGGCTACTAAAAGTTATTTCATCCATACTTAAAACTCATTACAAGAAGTAGAAGGAATTAGACCTCAGTTGAACAGACAACAGCAAGTTGAATTATTTCTGACTTTAAACCTTTTAATAGTCTCCTGCCCATCTCCCAACTCATGTTCTTCACTGCCCTGATCTGGTCTCAGGCTACTTTACCAGCATCTTACCAAAGACCTCCCCCCTCCCAGGGGACACTCCTGGGGAAGAGGTCAATTTAATACCAGAACCCAGCAAAGCATCCATGCCAATGTCAGGCCTGGGACTTTGCCCTCTCTGGAACCACAGAACAGAAGAGCCCAACCATCCCGTTAGACCTAGCACGCTTCATGAGAAACATGCAAACCTTTCAAAGTTCCTGCTTGATGCACACCAGCCAACCATTACTAAAATCTTCACATTGCTATCATGGTCGACTCCACCTTCTGCAACAGGCCCTACTGCCCAAGCAAAGCTCTCACACTTTGGTTAGGCTTGCCACCACAATCACTGCTGTGCCACTATACTATCTTCCCCAAAGCTGCCACGGTGCAGAACCACCAAGGGAGAAGAGGATCCCCGTTGCAACACTCGCCCATCAAACTGGGAACAGCTCAGCAAAAGGATATCTTCCTGAGCACTTAAAACATTATGAGGCAAGTGACCACTCCAAGTAAGAGTGACAAGAGTAACTTGTTTTAATCTTGTATTTATATTTGGACTTTGTACATTGAATGCACTTTGTGCTTATGTGAGCCGCCCTGAGCCCGTTCGTGGGGAGGGTGGGGTATAAATGTCATAAAATAAATAAATAAAAATAAGATGACAGAGCACCCCCTCCTCCTTGAATACAGAGTGTGCAGTTGGCCGCTTCATCCACTAACAACCTCTGCCTGCAAAGGGCAGGGGAAATCTTGGTTTTCTGAATGTCTGGCTAGGAGGAGCAAGTCTTAAAACAGAGTTGCCCATGTCCAAGGCAATCACTACCCCCCCCCCCGGACAGTTGTTCTAGAAAGGGTATCTGTCATAGATACATAACCAAAGGTTTTACTTCCAGTTCAGCACTAGAGACAACGACACACGAAGCTGCCGTGCAAATCTGCTGGAATCTGAGGACGGCCAGGAGACAAAAAGGGCCATTGACTGGTCTCCATCATCTCACCAGGTGTAGAGATTTCCCACAGCAGTGCCATCCAAGTGACCCAAGGATTCATTTTGCAAATTAGGCACAGCAATAAGGAAGCAGGAGCCAATCGGCAGTTGCCTAGAGAAGGCACCAGTGTGCACACACCCACCCACAGGTACTGGGGCCTGGGGTGGCTCCTGCTTCCTTATTGGTACCCCCTTTAGGGGGACTTTTTTGGGGGGGGATTGTTTAACAGCCTGGGAGGATGGGATGGTGACAGCACCCCCCAGTGCTGCCACCATCCCCCAGTGCTGCCACCATCCCCCAGTGCTGCCACCATCCCCTCCTCCCAGGCTGTTAAAAAAAAACCCCCACCACAACCCCCCCCCCAAAAAAAGCCCCCCTAAAGGGGGTACCTCTCCTGCTTGTGCCAGGCAGCTGGGTCAGGCTGGAAGGGGGAGCAAGAGAAAGGCCCGGCGAGGATGACGTCAGCGGCTGAATTGAGGAGGAAAACACGAAAGGGGGCGGCGGCGGGAGACAAGAAGGGAGAAGGACGCGGAGAGCCGGCCAAGCCCGTGACGCGCGCATGACAGGCTGCCACGCAGAATGGTGACAACGTCGCTTTTGCAGGGGCAAAGGGGGCACCTCCGTGCGAGGGCACCGAGCGGCGGCCGTCGGAGGGGGCGGGAAAGACGCAGGCATTCGGGAGCCTTCGCGGGCCAACACGAGGAAAGGCGACGCGGGTCTCGGGGAGATGCGCCAGCCGGTGCTTGCAAAGAAAGGCCCCGGTGCAGGAGGACACGGCGATGGGCGCGCCGCATTTCAGCGCTCCCCCCCTTTTACGCCGCCGGCCGGGGCGACCTAGAGGCAGGGGGACACCCCTCCGCCAGCACCTCCTCCTCCTCCTCGGAGCAACCCCGTCCCTCTCCCCCAAAGCCACCCTTCTCCGCTGCCTCCACTGTTCCCTCTCAGCTGAGTGAGTGTGAGCCGGCTCACAGTTTTTTAGCCTCCGGCTCACACATTTTTGTCTCCGCTCAGGAAGGAGGGCTCCAGAGCAAGCTAATTGATGCAGCAGCCAAATTGCTGGCTCACAGCTTTAATGCCAGGAGCTCACAAAGCAGAATTTTTGCTCACAGGACTCCACAGCTTAGAGGGAGCCTTGGCTGCCTCCCTGCCTGCCATATGGAGGCGAAGGCGCGGTCTCCGCTCCCCGCTGCCCCGCTGCCGCCCCGGGGCCCGCTCACCCCGCCCACTGCCAGGCCTCCGGCGTCCCCATCCCGACCGGGAGCACCTGCGCTCGCCCGCCCCCGCGCATCCCCAGGCCCGCGACGGCTCACCGTGCAAGACTTGCGAGGGGCGCTCCCCGGCCGCCGCCGCCGCCCCGGGCCCGAGGAGCATCAGGCACAGCAGGAGGGCACAGCCGCCGCCCGCCCGGAGCAGCCGCTGCCCCCGCCCCATGCCGCCCGCTGCCCCAGCTCACAGCCCCGGCCGCTGCCTCCTCCTCCTCGACGGCCGCCGCAGCATCCCGAGCGAGCCCGGCGACCAGCGCCCCCTCCAGGCCGACACGGGGCGCTGCCTCCTCCTCCTCGACGGCGGCGGCAGCATCCCGAGCGAGCCCGGCGACCAGCGCCCCCTCCAGGCCGACACGGGGACGCGCGCCTCCTCCTCCCCAGCCTCCCCAGGCATGCAAAACACACGCGCGCTCGTGCCTATCACGACGAGGGGGAACGACACGCCTTTGCACGGCCAGCCAATCAAGAGGGCCCATGGGCACGCCCGACTTCTGCCAGGGACGCCTCCGTAGGCGAGATGATACGCCTGGCCACGCCTCTCGGGAGACCTTGCCTGCTTCGTATTTTGCTCGCTGCAGCCACCGAGCCCGGGTTTCCGCGCCTCCAGCCAATCGCACGGGCGATACAGCCCCCCCCCCCGGCCCCTCCTCGATGACGCTTTACAGAGAACACCAGCCATTCCATGGCGAGGCTTTAGGATTGCACCTCCCGCAGGCAAGCGTTTAACCACAGGCTGGGTTTTGGCTGCATGCCACAGAAACCTCCACCGCGGTCTTTCTGAAGAACGTGGCAGCCCTACAATCCCCCGCTCCCCTGGGTGACAAAATTCGCAAGTCACAAAGGACACCTCTATGCCGAAACAAAACCTTGGTCTTTAAGGGGCTTCAGAGTCCCATGCATTTTTGCTGCAACAGACAAGCACCTATTAACTCTGGAATTTTACCTATCCCATAGTCTATGCACCACCCACAACCCTTCTTCTGCACCTTTGTGAGGATAATGAAACTAACAAGAAAGTGCTGGGGGGGGGTCTTCCCTGTAGTGCCAAGACACAAGAGGCATCATTCAGGGAACCCACCAAGTGCACTATCCAAATCCCACCACTTCTTCATCTCCATCCACACCCAGGAAAACACTCAAGGATGTCAAAGGAATAAATCATGCAGAAGCAGGTTCCTTCCCAATGCTGCAGTCTATTTCCATCACTGAATACCACCCTATATTCCATTTTCCATGCTCCCTGGAAAAGTCATATTATGCCACATCTTTCATTTGTTTGCTCCCTTATTCCATAGACTACAAATGAATGACTAGCACGACTATAAGTAGAAAGCCAGAAATATCCAGAGAAGACACAGGGCAGGCAACAGCACCCACAGCTGCACAAACAACAAAGTCAGGTTGCGGTCACACACACTAAATAATCCACTTTCAGACTGGATTGAAAGTGGATTATTTAGTGTGTGTGATCACAGCCTTAATTTACTATAAGGACCAGTAGAACAAAGTTTGAGTCCAGTGGCACCTTTAAGACTAACGAAGTTTATTCAAGGTATAAGCAGTCATGTACAAGCACACTTCTTCAGATACAATCTGTATCTGAAGACGTGTGCTTGTACATGACTGCTTATACCTTGAATCAGGGGTCACTTCCTAAAAAAAGAGGTGCAGAAGATCATTTGCATATGCCAGACCCCTGTGCAAAAGGGCAGGCATGTGTAGAATGCCTTTCTCTCCCTTCCCCATGTGGCAGTGGGGGGTTCTGCAGGCCTTCCCTGGCCCGTCCGCCTGTGCAGGCAGGCCAGGAATGGTGGCCGGGGGGGGCACCTCAGGCTCCTTACTGCCGGAGCACCGCTCTGCCACGCTTCGGCAAGAAATGACCCCTGCCTTGAATAAAGCTTTGTTGGTCTTAAGGTGCCACTGGACTCAAACTTTGTTTTGCTGCTTCAGACAAACACGGCTACCCACCTAAGTCTATAAGGACCAGTAGTTAAGGATTAGCAGTGAGTCTTTTTCCAGCAACCAGGATGAAGCCATCAGTCAAAGTGGGTAGCTTGTCCATCTTGCCTCATGGCTAACTTCATTCTCTCCAGCAAAACCAGAAGTCTTCCAGAGACTTGTGTCAGGACACACACGCAAGCACTGCAAGTGTGTGTGTGTTGGGGGGGGGTGTTCTGGTTTTCCTACACTTCTCCCAATGTAATTAACCTTCTTCGACCGTCACAGGATACAGGGATAATCACTAGAGTTTAGATGGGCTTAAATAGGGATCAGACAAATCCAAAGGTTAGTTCAGTATCTATATCAACATCATTTATATATTATTTCTCAAGAGTGAGCAATCTGGGATGGCCACTCCAGCAAGTTTCTTGCGGGACCCCACTTGTCAATATTTAATAATTCTCAACGTGATCAGATCTGTGGATACTTAATTCCAGAGACCGGAACCATGAACGGACAAGGCAGATCTTTCTATGCATCTGAAAAATGCATCTAAAAAAATGCATTGGGGGTTAACCCCACCTCAAATAATACAGCATCTGTAGCTTTAAGAAAGGAATACCCTCAGTGGCAGTTGCTAGGCAACCATAGCAGTATTGTCAGACTTCAAACCTTGATTACTGTCAGTGAAAGGTAGGGCGGAGGGCCTAGGGCCCTTTCCAAGGTTGTTTTGACTCATCAGGGCCAGGCCTGGCAGCAACCACCTGGTGACATGATGCCACCTGACTTTTATCACTTACCCAGGCCCAGTTGCTTACTATTGTTCAACAGCAGCCACCCCACAAAAGCCAGTGTAGTGGAGGTTAGAGTTTCAGAGGTGGGAGACTCAGGTTCAAATCACTACTCTGCTGTGGAAGTTCACTGTACGGCCTTAGGCTGAGAATATGTAACTGGCCCTACTTGCCTTACAGTTTTATTGTTGCAAGTATAAAATGGAGGAGAATGATGTAAGCTGCTTTGGGTCCCCATTGTGGAGAAAGGTGGGGTATAATGAAGTAAGCAAATAATAAATATAGCAGAAGATAGGGGGCAGATACAAGTCAGGGTGATTGATGGGTGGGAAGAAAAGGAAGCAAGGAAAGGTGAGGACATAGGGGGAGGTTGAAAAGAGTTTGGGGAAGGGGATACAGGGAGAAACGAGGTACTCCCTGCACATCCTTGCCGGTTCCCCTCTGCATAACTGGGCCACAGTTTTTCTAGGTAGAGGCTGCTAGGTGTGGTGTAATGTGTCTTTAAGATCGCTTGGAGTTTATGTCCACCTGCAGGGTATTAGCAGTGTGGGTTTTTAATCAGTCGTCTACTTGTTTGGAGACTTAGCATGTCGTCCGTGCAGTGATAGCTGGCACAAGGTTTGTGGAATAAATTGGATTAAACCCTGCCTGAGAGTGTGACTGAGATATTGTTGGATCTGTCCTGGACAGTGGACATCACACTAGGGGAAGACAGGCAGGAAGACAAAAGTTGGTTAGCTGGTGAATGGGAAGGAGACAAGGCAGCAGGGCAAGCGGAGGGGCTATGGGGGCTTCTAGATGGAGAAATAAGGGAGGGTAGGGTAGGGTGGGGTGGGGGTTGGGAAAAATCACTGAATCAAAAAGTTGGAAGGGGCCTAAAGACCATATAGTCTCACCTCCACACCATGCAGGGTGACCAAAAGAATCCCTGAAAAAAAAATCATCCAATCTTTGCTTAAACACCTCCAAAGAGGGAAAACCCACATCCCTGGGCAACCAATTCCATCACTGAACTGCCCTTAAAAAGCTTTTCCTAATATCACATAGATCTCCCCACCAGTAATTTAAACCCATTATTACGAGTCCTGTCCTCCACTGCCTACTGAAATAGTGCCCTACCATCCTCTAAACGGCAGCCCTTCAACAACTTAAAAAGAGTAAACATAACACCCCTCAGCCTTCTCTTCTTCATGCTGAACATTCCCAGTTCACGTGGCCTTTCTTCGTAAGGCTTAGTTTCTGAACTGCTACTCATGTTAATCACTCTCCTCTGTACCTGCTCTAAAGTTTCTTTGACCTTCTTATAAAAAGGCCTCCAGAACTGGAGACAATACTCTAAATGGGGGTCTTCCCAGTGTAGTATACCGTGGTACTATCACATCTCATGCCCTAGAGATTTTATCATTCCAAGCACTACACTACATTCAAGGTTCCATGAATGTACCCACTTCCTTCTTTCCCAAAGCAAAGAGCTGGTCATGTCTTTTCTCCACTTCATTGGAGCAGGAGGTGCTTCAGAAGAGCCCAAGAAGCAATGCCTTTCTGCCTAGAGCGAGTACCCATTTGGGCAGAGCTACTTCCATCCTAGAAGGTGCTTGACTCAGAACCACTCAATGTTTTGTGACTGGACAGCCATGTTGTGGTAGTACCCCCCCCATCTGTTCTCAACATTCAAAAAGCAGCCACAGGATCCACTAGCTTGGGGGCCCCTGAGGAACAGGCTACTGTGATTAGTACCCATTGCTTAGCTTACATGAATTAGCTCACTTGAAGTCACATTCCACAGCAGTGTGTTTTATAAATGATTTTGGAGGCTGGAAGAAAAGAGCGTACATACTAATTTCATCGGATACTCTCTCATCTTACCACAATGCATGAATAAGGGTTCTTTCCCCAGTGCACTCTTTCAGACATGTGACTTTATGCACCTATAGTACACCTGTTAGCCAAACTGCTTTATCTACAGCAGATGGCAAACTAAATTTAATATGGGTTCCTGCCAAAGTTTATGGAGGTCCAGACCACCCAAGGATGTCCCAGTGAAAGAGTCAAGACTGGTGAAGTCAAAACAATCCGTCTTTTACCGAATAATATCAAAATCACGTTCAAACAATACAGATGCACACACATACTCAATCAAGTTCCTCTGGAATACAGAAATAGAAAAATAGTTTTTACTTAGAAGTAGGTAGGTACACGGGTTCATACTTACCTGTTCTGAAGCCTTGTCTGTTGCAATGAAGAATGAAGGGTAAGAAAATCAAACCTAGGGGTATTTCTAAATCACACTGCCAGAACCAGCCAGCAAAGTGTGGACCTCTTTGGCTGCAGTCCAAGAGATCAAGAATAGACAAAAGGGTTGTTGGATAGCAAGGAGTAAAAGTAGACGGGGTGATGGTTTGCGGCTAGCAAAGACTCATCACATGGTCCCTGAGTTTTATAGGCGAATCTTCGGGTGGGTGGCAACCTTGCCAAGCTGGAGACCCACATACCTGTAAGTCTGTCCCATCCCTACAACCATTGGTGCGTGTAGAGAAGGCATTTACTTTAAGGGTTTGGCCAATATTTGAAACTCTAAACTCTGACAAGCCATCTGGTGAGCTGTGAAAGCTTGGCGTCAGGACCTTCCTTGATGTGTAGATAGATCTCGGCTTTCCCAGGTAATCAAAGTGACATCTGCCAGGAAAGGGCCATTCAGGTGTAGAGTGAAGACATGTATTGCGTGAGGGTCCTTCAGCAATGGGGGATTATCTCTCCTCAGCTGTTGTTTCTGCTAACAATGGCGAAATGTGCTTCTCTTCCCTTAAGGCTAGGAGCTGTATGTGTTTGCAAGCTTCATTACCATGAAATGCAGGCAGGTACCTTCTATGTGAAACCTCTTGCAACAGGTGATTCAAGAAGCTTTCCCTAAGCCTATGGATATATATATATATATACTAGCAGTAAAGCCCGTTGTGAAACCAATACAACGAGATCTAGAAAGAGGCTCTGGGGGAGTGCTCTGGCTTTGGGCAAACAGTGTCAATTTGCTGTGGTGACCTCAGCAGGGTATAATGACAGAGTCCACTGTTTTCTCCAGAGGAACTGATCTCTGCTACCTGAAGAGCAGTTGTAATTGTGAGTAATCTGTAGCCCTCACCTGGAGATTGGCAACAATTGTTACCCAGGACAAAATGGCTGGTTTGGAGGGTGGAGTCTATGGCATTCTACCTGTCTGAGGTCCCACCCCTCTGCAAACCCCACCCTCTCCAGGCTCCACCCCTCAAATCCCCAGGAATTTGTCAGCATGTAGTTGGCAACCCCATCTCCTTCCCAGCTAGCCACCAACCTACCATTATCTGCCCCTTTGACTTCAGCTGACTTCTGCCCTCCCTTCTGCAGAGCAGTTGTAATTCTGAGTGCTCTCCAGCCCTCACCTGGAGATTGGCAACAATGGTTCCCTATGTGGGACTGACTGGTTTGGAGGGTGGAGTCTATGGCAGTGTACCTGTCTGAGGTCCCACCCCTCCTCAAACCTCACCCTCTTCAGGCTCCATCCCTCAAGTCTCCAGGAATTTCCCATCTGGAGTTGGCAACCCTATCAGGACTGGCCCCAATGTGTTTTCTCCCAAAGGCCAAAGTAGGTGACAGGACCAAGCTTAGTTGCCTACCAACAGGCACTGAGGGGAATGTAGGGTTGCCAGCTCTAAGGAGGGAAATACCTGGAGGTTTGGGGGGTGGATTCTGTAGAGGGCCGGGCGACGGAGGCATCGGCCTTCTGTCGCCCGCCTTGCCCCCCCAATCTCGGCCCGGGCGACCGCGGCTCCCGCCAGCGCCCCCTCTTCCTCCTCCTCCTCAGACCCCACCCTCAGCAGGCTTCATCCCTAAAATATCCTGGAAGTTTCCAACCTGGAGTTGGCAACCCTATGTCCTTTCCACGCAACCATCAGCCTACCTTAATCTGCCTGTCTGTCTTCTGGTTTACATCCCCCCCCCACAGCCTCTGCCAAGGGAAAGGGCAGTTTTTCCCTGCAGTGGGAACCAAAGCAGCTGACATCCTCCTCAGAATACACCAGGTCCCATATTCCAACTGTCTTGGGGGGGGGGAGTTTGAGGTGTGGAATGGAGTGAGGTCCAATCAGCTTCCATATGCAAAAGACCTTGAAACGCTGGGCGGGACTGCACAAAGCAGCCAGTCAACCCAGCCAGCGTCTTCTGAGTGGCAGTTCTTCCGGCCAAACACTAAAGGAGTGCATTTTGGAATGTTGGACTACGGCTTTATATATAAGGAGAGATATATATGCACAGTCCATGTGATGTGTATGTCAGCAGATATAAATCCATAAAAAGCAAATATCAGTCTCTTTCTCAACACACCACTCACACAAAACCCATCACCTTTCTAAGAGAAATGAAAAAATGTCTGGCTTTTCCCATTTCTTTCCAACTCATCTGTTTTTTGAAGAACAAAACCTGAAAATATTTTACCACTTAGTGGACTACACAAGAAAGATTTCTTCCCCCCAACACTGTCCAGAGAGAGATAAAGCAGGTTTGTCTGTGAGAGTTAGATGAAAAACTCACAGGGAACACGTGTGAGCTGAAATATTTTGTGAAAAGCAAAAGAAAACTCTCAATAGAAGTTGAGAGGAAAAAAGCCAAGTACAAGAAGGTAGAGGCTATTCTGCACATCTCCAGGGGCTGGCTGAAACTGCTGCTGGGGGAAACACTGCGACAAGGCCGGCTGGGACTCTTCTCTGCAGGTAGCCCACTGAGCTGCTTTCTGCAAGGAGGGCGGCACCACAGCTAGCTTGTTATTTAGTCAGAAAAGAATTAGTGGATTGGAAATAAATGGCGTACAGGGTTAGCAGCAGGTGACTGGCAAGAATGGGGATGTGTTTTTGCCCCATTTCCTTTGTGCTCAGTCTGGAAAACCAAAACTGCAGCCTGCTCTAAAGCTATGTGTGTATGAAACCTTTAGACTTTCCATCACCAAGAACCCCCACAATACCTCCCCCAAAGGACAGCTAAAGAACATTCTTAATTTCTAAGCATCAGACCTAAACAACAGGAAGTAACAGATGCTTTTTCTCTTTCTTCCTTAATGCCAGAATACAGGAGTCATTTACTGAAACATATATATCCTGCCTTACCTTGTGGTTCAAGGCAGCTTATAGTAATAGTTACAACCAAAAATAAAATAGTAAGCCCCAAATCTCCCCCACACACACACAAAAAAAGGATGCCTGCTATTTAAACCCCCTACAAAGCCCTAAAGGAGCTGTGGTGGCTCATGTGGTTAAGACGCTGAACTGCAAGCTGTGGAAGGTCAGTAGTTCAGCAGTTCGAGACCCGGGTGCCGCATGATGGAGTGAGCTCCCATCTCTAGTTCCAGCTCCTGCCAACCTAGCAGTTCGAAAGCAAGAAAATTGCAAGTAGATAAATAGGTACCACTTCGGTGGGAAGGTAACAGCGTTCCGTGCGCCTTGGTGTTTAGTCATGCCGGCCACATGACCACGGAAACGTCTTCGGACAGCGCTGGCTCTTCAGCTTTGAAACGGAGATGAGCACCGCAACCCTAGAGTCGGATTCGACTGGCTTTCGAGCAAGGGAACCTTTACCTTTACTTACAAAGCCCTAGCAAACAGACAGATCTTGCAGTGCCTCCTGAAAAATCTTCAAGGACGGGCTCTCCCCTTCATCTCTTCCGGGAGCCCAATCCATGGAGCCAGAGCCCCAATGGAAAAGACCCAGGCTCTGGACAATGCCGCCCAACAGGCCATTGGTAAGTAGCCAACAGACGGCGGCCCGGGGGGGGGGGGGGGGGGGGGCACATGGCAGGAGACAGTCCATCCACTCTGTGGTTCCCAGGTTGTGAAGGGCTGTAAAGGTCACAACCAGCACCTTGAATCTTATGAAACTATCAATAGATTAAGAAACTAAGTATCAGTACATTAAAAACAATTAATAGTATTTAAATACAACTGGATCTCACTGCTGCAACATCACTCCAACGGTTTTAAAAGGTGACTAGATAAATTTCCAGGGGTCCATCCACACCTATTAACCATGCTAGTTAAATGGAACATCCATGTTCAGAAGCAGTATGCTGCTCCAAACCAAGCACAAGAGGGTTAACACTAAGGGGGGCTACTGCTTTTAGCTGCAGAGCTTATGGCTGCTGGGGGGGGAGGAAAGAAGTGTGATCTAACTGGCCCAAGGTAGGAAATGGAAGCTACAGATGGATTCAGTAGATCTCTTCCTGTCTTCTCAACTACAAGCATTTTGCAGCCCTATAAATGTATAACAGAGAGTCACAGTTTTTTACTAACGTGATTTGAGCAAAGAATGTGGTGCTGTACTCCCATTAATATGCAACTAATCTGCATGATGAGACTGTGCGTAGGTAAACCCTACATACTGATATTTGACAGCAACACTGTGCACTGACATTTTGAGAGAACTATTACACACAGGATGGTAACTAATTCAAAGCCCAATAGGATGCTAACAAAGTGCGTGTGAGTGGGATGGGAAATTCAAGTATGCATCATTTGACATTTATCAACACTGACTTTCATCTAGTGCCCATTTTGGCTGCTCTGACTGCTGTTCAGGCTCTACTAATATTTAACAACTGCAAAAGATGAGGAACAGGCTATTCTGGCCACAGGCTCGGTGGTTTGGGATCACTAGCATGTATTCTGTAGCACTGAAATACAGGGCTGGTTGCTGAAGACATCTCCGTAAGCATTTGCTAAAGAACATGGCTGCAGAGGAAGCAAACACCGACAATCAGCAAGTTCTGCACACCACTGAGCTCACTAGTTTAAGATATTAATGCGTTTTAATTGCTATTCAGTACAGGAGAAGGGGCTGTTTGCCTCGTTCTGCATTCGAGATGCCATTCAGTTGCTCAGCAATCCATGATCCAGTGCGGGAAACAGCTCAAAGAAGCCCTAGAAAAGAGGAAGGGAGAAGTCAGGGTTGGAAGGGATGGGGAGATCAGCCCTCAGGGGAGAAGCAGGGCAGCTACCAGCGTACACACACACACGCACGCACACACACGCACTCGATAGCATCACCATGGCAGCTTGAGAATCGTGAGGCACAATGTCGCCATAGGAACCAATCAGTGACTCAAGGCCACCATAGTTGCCATGGTAACATACAGAGCTAAGAGAGTGGGAGGCAGCAGGACCCAGCCTTCAACGGGGACACACACACACACACAACTTATGACCCAGACAGAGGAGGAAACTTGCTCCCTTTCACCAAGCGTTTCTCAAGATTAGCATCCCTGACTCCCCTATCCCAGTATTCCTTGCCCCCCCAGCTTTCCCACAGACCACCTCTCTACCTACGGTTCAGTGCTCTTACCCTCTGTCTCTCTCGTCTTCAGTCCCCTCCTAATCTGAGATCAAAGATCCAGCAACTGGCTGCAAAAACTCCCCTGCCTTCCCCCCTTCCCAAGACGATGCTGAACTTCCACAGGAGCTACTGCAAACCTTGAAGAGAGTGAGGGACTGCAGGACCCCCGAGGTGCAGCACATCTCACGGATGGAGTGCATGGCTAGCTGTGGGCAGCCCATATCCACAACACGCAAGCCAAGCCTGGAGGCCAGGATGGGCCCAATGGTTGTACCACAGGGAGAATCATTCCGAACCATGTATTCCTGGCAACAGAGAAGAGGAACAGGGTGTTAGCTGATGAGAGCGCTGCCCAGGGGAAAACGTTTTCATCATTAGACCTCATACTGAGTATAAGGCCAAGTACAGATCCGCTGAGTATTTTCTGAAGTACTAAGTACAAGGCTCTTGGCACTGGCCAGTCAGTCCCAGCATCAGGGAATAGCCTTGGTTAGCTATTGTGACGTCCTCCAAATCCACAAACCCAGGAGGATGAACCCTGGACCACTGAACGAAGATGAAAAGAACCAATTCATCATTTGCTGCTTATAGGTGGAACGGCTTTGTGTTTGATGCAGGGAAAACAATTTGATCCTCAACACCACCAAGACCAAGGAATTGGTAGTGGACTATAGGAGGAACAAAACTGACATCCAGCCACTGTTTATTGGTGGAGAATGTGTGGAGAGGGTGGCTACTTTTAAGTTTTTGGGAGTGAGTATTGAGCAAAACTTGACCTGGAGCGCTAACACCACTGCTCTGGTGAAGAAGGCCCAGCAGAGGCTCTTTTTTCTCAGACTTTTAAAGAAAAATAACTTGAGTGAGAAAATACTGATGTCCTTCTATCGTTGCTCAATAGAGAGCATTTTAACATACTGCGTCTGTGCCTGGTTTGCCAGCTGTACGGCTGTGGAGAGGAAAGCACTCCAGAGAGTTATCATCACAGCCCAGAAGATTATTGGCTGCCCTCTCCCGTTCCTGCAGGAATTGTATAATTCTCGATGCTTGAAAAAAGCAAAGAACATTCTGCAGGATTTGTCACACCCTGAACACTCCCTGTTTGAACTGCTGCCTTCGGGTAGAAGATATAGGACAATTAAAACAAGGACAAACAGATTAAAAAACAGTTTTTATTCGAGAGCTATTATTGCTTTAAATGCTGTATGAAATTGGAATTTGGGTGACATTGGTGGTTTAAGTTGCAATGTGAACCTTAAGGGAGTTATGGGATGGTTGTGAATGGTTGTGTGAGTGTATACAAGTATGGCTGTAGATCACTGAAATGATTGCACCTTTAATTTCGTTGTACTATGTACAATGACAATAAAGTATATTATTATTATTATTATTCAGACAAGAGGGAGACAGACGAACAGAGAGGCCGGTTATCATGTAACCCTAAAACCTTGCTGTGTCTGGTCTCAGCTTCCACGTCTGTGGTAAGTAGGGCAACCAGCCCCTTGTATGCTGGATGCGAAGCTCACAGTGCAAGGCCACAGCAGTCATAGATACTCTGAAGACAATGCTCAAGAAGACTGGTGCATAATCTTGACATGGGTTGCAAAGGCAGGGAAAGGTCTGGGGCAGTTTCAAGTGGAGAAACATTCCTTACTTGCAAGGGCACATCCACACGACTGGCAATCTCACGGATCAGTGCCTCTGTGATTGCAGTGGATGAGTACCGCTGGCTATTGTTCACTTTGATAGTGGGGCCCTGCACAGAAAAGCACAAAATTAAACAGAGATATGGGGGAGGGGGCAGGGGATTTGGCCCACCCATAGGGTTGTCGAGTTCTTTTTCTTCCGCGGCG